TGAAGGTTAGTGAGAATGTCCAAACTTTAGGAGACATCAAAGAGTACATTAATCTGTACTATTATGACCAATTTGATGCAGATCGCCAAGGGTTCCCATCAATTGGTTTCTATTATCTTTAAGACTCCAGTTAGATAGTCTATATACCTCCCTACATGGTTCAAACCAACAGTCAGAGACTTCATGAACTGGTACCACATCTTGGTCTGAGCACAACCCACCTAAGACTGGCACATCGAGGTAAATTAAGTAACAGTTTCGAAAATGAGTATATCCGGATTAATATGTTTAGGTAAAACAAAAGTTGCATAGTTGGCAGCAGATATTTCGATGAAGTATATATTATCATGTTTTTCTTGTACATTGCGTCGTTTCCTGAAATTTTCCAACTTTATTAATGACCTCAAACCGGTCATTGTTCTTTAGACACTTGATATGACATTTCTGACATAGCAGTAATTTCAAATGTTGTCTTCATGTCAACTTGGATTAGAAAATTTGTCATATGAAATCTTTATGATTCAACTTTGTTGCGTTTTCCAATAAAATATTCCAAGACTCATCGTTCTGTACTCATTTAAATTTATAAATCCAGACACACTTTATTTCCTAAATATGCCAGTCAATCCCTGTGGTCTTCCATTACTGAAGAAGCAGGCATCATCAAGATCGACATAAGACCGGGCATCATTGCATAACAGTTTAGGCTGCCATACCTCATATCAGCACATCAAGCAACAAGGCAGTAAAATAAAGATGAAGAAAGAAAATCCGGTCAAAGGAAGTAGAAATAGAAGAAAGTGGTCAAAGAGAGGAAGGTAGAATGGCTCAGACGAACAGTTAAACGACTTCATGCAGTGATACCATGTTTTAGTCTGGTCACCTTAATCCATTTGCCAACTATGAACCTACTTCGGCCAACATTGCGCGACGAGACAGACGGTGGTTAGGCATACGTAACACATGTCCCAGACATCTCAGTCGATGAAGGTTCACAATCGCATCAACTGACTAACCTCTCCTCCCTAAAACTCTACGTCTGACTTCAGTGTTACTTACGTGGTGACATCATGAAACACGGCCTATGCTGCAAAGACAACTGTTGTAAAACAACTGAAGCCTTCTCATGTCCTCTACCTTCAATGACCATGTTTCCCAGCCTTACAGTAGAACAGAGAGGACTGCTGTGCAGTACACGCTATCTTTAATAGACAATCGGATTTCGCGGCGGCGCCACAGATGGCATCAGCTGGCAAAAGTCAGCCGAGCCTTTTGTATCCGTGAAGGGATTTCATCGACCACTGACCCGCCAGGGTTGATCCAACTTCCCAAGTATGGTAGCAGAACATTAGAATAACTTTGAGTGGTAATATGATATAATATATATGACTCACTGTGCTGTGCATTTTACTTGTCCAATCTTAATGTAGTATAATAAATCAAACAATTTAAATAAATATTCTTTATTATTGCTCGCCAGTTGTTTCCAAATAATCTAATCCTTGTTGATCTGGATACGTTCAAAAAACACAGATGCTACGCAGATTAGCATTATTAAATGATTGCCACAAAGAAGGATTTATTAAATGATACTAAGTGATGACCAAAGGTGAAATAAAAACCTGGGTTACAGCCAGCGGCCTTCGGGTGACCAACCCGGCGTTCGACCGACTGAGCTATGAGATCCTGCTGTTAGCTACATGTCAATTTTATTTCAATCACTCCGGGTTTCCTCCAGCTGCCATTTCAATCCGCAACACGTAAAATCATCGTAATCCCACTAGCTGTTCAAGTAGGTATTCACGTCCCAGTTCAAACCAAGCTGAATTAGAGAAGGGGAGTGTTGGTATTGATAGTAAGTGATGATCAGGAGTGAAATTAAAACCTGATTCATAGTAGGATTCTAACCAATGACATCCACGTGATTGAAGTGGAGTTTACATCAGGTATCGTAACTCAGTTGGCAGAGTGCCGAGTCATTGGTACAAATTCTGTCGTGACCCAGGTTTTCATTTCACCTTCAATTATCACCCAGTATCAATAACATCAATCTGCCAAACCACAGCTATCTCAGATACCCTCATTAATATCCTAAATGTACAGTCAAAGAACAAAATCTTATCACAGAATGAATTCTATTCAAGAAAATAAACAACACAGTCTTGTGTGCGACCAGTGAAAGTATAACTAACCTATAGCAGCAACAAATGACCATGAGGTATATATTGTATGTTTCGCAAAGAGTAACTCTTTCCTTATTTTTTATCATTAGTTTGTATGCAGACCATCAACATTTCATGTCTGGTAGAATATCAAGAAACAAGCACTCTAGCTACGATAGATCTGCTGAGCTGTAGCAGCAAATAATTCTAACCGTTATTTTAAAATTGTATACAGTCCTTTCCCTTCATAAATTTAAATGCAGCGGGAACAACAGTTTTAGCAGAATAGCATGGATCCATTTCATTTTTCGTCAGCTGCTTACAATCTAAAACACTATTAACATCAATTTAAACCCTTGACCTAATTATGTGAATTTTATTCAAATTAGTTTTTAGTTAACATAAATATTATGATTTTCTTTCATACAAATTGTGTAAGCTTTCTTAGTAAGTTGAACATATTTGTCTCCCTCTTTTGTCCAACTTCCGCTCTAGAATACTCGTCTAATACTTCTGTGTATTGGCGAACTTAGCTCTGTATATTCACTCACTCAATTCATGTGTTTTCAACTATGCCAAATCGATGTTATCTTAAATTCAAGCCGACAATTTTCTATCAAACTGATTCAAGTATGCGAACACTTATGTAAATTGATGTCAATATCTTTTTAGGTTGTAAGCAGCTGGCGAGAAACTGCGGAATACAATTGATATATGCTATTCGGCTAAACCTGTTGTTCTCGCTCTATTCACATTGTTTTGAAGTAGGAGCGATAGACTGACACAAAATAAGATGTAAGATTAGATGAATAGACCCACAGAATGACTTAACATTGACATATGAATTATGTAGTCAACTGGTGATATACACAGAAGAAGAGCAGACATCATGCATACTTACCAATTTTGAGCGGCCTAGTACACACTCAGGACTTATATTCGTCACATAAACAGGTGTATCTCCACGCTGTGAATGACGACCTCCAGCAATTGATATACCTAAAGGTTCCTCTAGACTTTTGTTTACAACAATAGTTCTCTCTTGACAGAATGATGCTTCGGATCCCAACTAAATATCATAAAATGAATAGGCAAATAATGAAATAATGTAAATTGATCCCACATTAAGAGAAATAAGATACATAACTTTATCATCACCTTTTTTTACTAGACAGATGAAAAGAAAGAAACAGAACAAGACCTACTATAGTAGTGTATTTATTTTACCTCTCATAATGTAAAACAATGAAGTTCAGGGAAAAGAGAGAATGAAAACTACACAGCAAGGGAGAAAGAAAAAAGACTGAGTGAAGAAATATAATTCTTTTCAATTAGGTCTTCGTCTTCGGCTCAACAATAAAGAAAAGGGATTGAACTAATTCAAAAGGAATATATTTCTTCGCTCAATTAGCCTTTTTTTTCTAAATATCTAAATGGGAAGTTTTAATATACAAAACAGAAAATGTGAGAAATTTCTTCTACGTTACTGTAACTATGACTTCAAGTAAAGTAACGGGATATTTTTTGGATCCTGGATAATAAAACAATATTTTCTAAATCAGTTGTTTCAGTTTCTTAGTGACATAACCTTGAAGTTGTCTGTTTGGTCACTTTAAAAAGCAGAAACAAATTATTGCAGATCCCAGATAATATCTCTGAAAAATGACAATGATAGGTGAGATAACTCACTTGAAATCAATAAAAGATTTTATATTCTTCTACACCACTTTCCATTCTAGTCCCTTCAAATTACCTTTTTTTGGCTCTTTGTTAACACTGGTTTTACTCTCATCATTACTTTCGTTATCCTTTCCAGTTTGTTATGCATTACTGTTTTTATGAATGTATGTCTACCAGAACTATCTTCAAAGATATTCCCGATCAAGTCATAAGAGAATCAAAACTTTGATGAACTTTCCCAGGTGGGTTTCTATCAGCTGAAAAAGAGATTTAATCTATTTCTGGCTTCAAGTTGGTATTCATCATGGACTGATATCAGTTGTAGAAACATTGAAACCCGTGAGCATTGGACAGCTGTTTAGTCCTAGTATAGGACTCTTCAGCAGTGCGTACCCATGGCCCCGCTAGGGGTCGAACCGAGGACCTTCAGTCCCCGCGGCCAGCATGTTACTATTGAGCCAGTGGGTCCAATGGTCTATATTTCGTATTTCTGTCAGTTGAAGATTTCATTTCTTCTCGAATCCGGAGGATTCGTATTTTCAACACTTTAGAAGACAAAATTCAACTCTGACGATTGACGTTTATCAGAAATGGGTAACCAGGGAGATAGATTTTTAGAAAATCAGTCTGCTATCCTTGTGGAGAAGGAAAAGGTAATTTTGAACTTGGAATCCAATGGAGATGAATTAGATGAGGTATTAAAAGGCAGACTAAAGAAGACTGTCAAAAGAACATTACAGACAGTCACTCTAGGAATTAGCTATACTACGTTAGTTGGTTGGAGGCAATTGGCAGGAAGTCATGAACCTAGGTTTCATGCTTGTTGCCACTCGTCAGAAAGGCGTATTTGCAACCTAGATGGGACTGATGTCCCGCCTGAGATTCTAACCCGCCTCATCCAGTGTTGTAACCAGCGACTTTACCACTGAGCTATTCGGGACGCGATTCACCTCCTGTAGGACTGGGTTACATATATCCATTGGTCACGGGAGTGCATGATCGACAGGATTCGGTCTGGACTAGACAACATGAAATTGTTTGCATTCCCGTGACCAATCAATACAATTAGCTATACTAATTGTTCAAGGCGAACATGTGTGTGAGGGAAACTCACTGCTAGTCACTTCAATGTGTATAGACCGATTCACCTGCTCCTGCCGTACGCAGACGTAGACTGTTTCACGCCAATGCAAGCACCTTTCAGCGTGACTCAATATAGGTAAATGTAGATCGACCAACAGTTTCATATTATAACGTTTCATTCACAAGGGATACAGTTCTATAAGATTCATTCGCTCTAGTACAACGTAATATTCCAAAAGGTATGAATGAGTAAACGCTTACTTTGCATTCTTGGAGCTTTGTCAGTACAACAGTCGAAACCGGAATTGTGTATCGAGAATCAACTTTACCATCCCATCATTATTCACTTTTTAATTTTTCAACCTATTTTTTCTTAATTTTTCACATTATCATCATGTAGATAATGACAACTGTTTACCTACTTTGTTACGGATTCTTTATTTTGTGATTTCAAATCACATTCACTCACATTATGAAATATTTTCTCACGTAATTTTCATTTCTATATTATTTTCATGATCAACAAACATTGAGATTTTCACGTAAAATACATATATTTAAGTGAAGTTATACGGTTAATGAGGATCATAGTCGCCGAAAACAAATTTATTCGCTGAAGTCTTCATTTATTTAAATCTAAATAATAAGACGATGTGCATACATGGAAAAGAAATTCAGCTATTCAAAGTTATTTGGGCGCACTTATCTTAAGTAATTAAACTCAATTTCCATTGCAAACTAGATTGTTTTACTACTACGTATGAGCAATACTTTTTAAAGGTGGTTAATCGAAAATCTGTAACTTCGCATATTCTACATTTAACAGATATGCCTGGCACTTACATACTAGAACAGACTAAACTATTGTAGTGTCTTTTTTGGTAAATATTTAGATAAATCAAGCGTGACTTAGATGACACAGACTGACTGTTCAGTAATTTTAAGCTGTATTGAAAGCTCCGATAAAAATCATACCGTTGAAGTTTATTCTCACACTCTAGGATCTTGATACAACCGAACACCTTAACTTCTCTCATATGAAGTATGTAACTATTGAGTTCAGATGTACTAGTATAATTGCGTTGTAAGTAATAAATACTCTTCTATTGGAAAATCAAAATTAACCGAAAGTAGAAAAGTTTGAACAAATGGTTTTGCGACTGTTCGAACTTACTTGAAAACCTCGTCAAGATGGAATAGAATTCGAAATAGTGAAGTATTAGATGAAAGTAACGTATGCAATACAATCGACAACTACCCCAGTAATAATAAAGTCGATTATTTATTATATTCGGCCCTTGGGTTCCTAGTGGAACATAGGGCTTCACTAGCACGTCTTCATTGCACTCTATTCTCTCCAGTCTTTTGAACCTCGCTCCACGACTGTTCACAAGCTTTCATTTCTCCCTCACATGGTCTCCTTCATGTCACCCTCGGACACTAAACTCGTCGCTTCCCATCTGGGTCCCACTCGACGGCCTGGCCTGGTGCATGATGTCCCCAATCGGTCTTCTTAGTGTATGTCCAATCCAATCCATCTCCACTTTCTTCTGCTATATATTTGTTGGACGATGGGTTCTTGGCTAGTTCGTTCCCAGAGTTCCTTGTTGCTTATTCTTATTATTCTAGCAATCTGATCTTGAGTATTGAATGAGCGTAGGCGACAGCTGTTGATGCGATATATTTCTGTAGTTTGTGGGAAATGCTTTTCGCAACATACCAAGTCTCTGAACTATCACATAGAAGTACTGACTTGACTGAATTAGTGTTGAAAATTCGGATCTTGTTCACGCTTTATACTGAGTGGAGCAGATCTCCACACTGATTATTTCAGATTAATGAAAACCTGTCTTGCTTCTCCGATCCTGGTTTTGACTTTTTCCTCATCTGTGCCACCTGTAGCTGAAACGATGCTGCCTAGGTATGTGGGTAGGTGAAAGAGAAAACTTCCTTTAGATTTCTCCCGTTCATGGTGATTGTTGTTGTTGGTTAGGTATCTTCATCATCTCTGTATTCTCTACGTTCATCTGAAAGAAGTCCGTCTTGTTTCGCTGCCTCGCCTCTTCTGCCAACTCGTTGGTTTTCGTCTGTAGATCTTCGAGTTTGCGCGACATGAAACATAAATCATCGACGAAATCCAAATCTTCTTCTGGGGTCTTTACATCGGTCAAACATCGTATGCCCATCTTCTCTCTCCTCATGGTTTTCTGCATGATGCAGTCGACCACAATCAGGAAGATCATCGGTGATAGTATGTGGCAGCCTTGTCTTACTCCTGTCTTCATTTCAAAGGCATCACTGAGTTTTCCACTGTGAATCACTTGGCATGTTGCGTCTTCAAATTAGATTGGTTTTACGGGATAGGGTTGCTAGTCCTATGCCCAACCTTCGCTCTTTATCCGGGCTTAGAACCGGCTAGTAACTAGTGAACTAGTTACCTAGGCGAGGTTAAATAAATCGATGAGATAATATTAACAAGACAGCTGGAAGTTGTATTCACTATATACATCCTAGTTTTACAAACATTAAACTGAGTGAAACACTGATTTTTGCTAAAAATTTATTTATTCTCAAACTTTAAGAGACGCAAAATTAAAAAGTAGATTGTTTGAAAACGGAGAAAGCACACAAAACTTACAACAAGTTGCTTAGGGAATCCAGTTGCATTATTTTGAGTGCTTGAAATATTAATATTATGTGGAGCAATTGAACCAACAGAATTGGAACGATTACGTGATTCTTTGTAAACGTTAATTTTACTCGTTCGATTATCATCCGCTGAGGCAACTGATGATGATGCTGTTGCCACTGATGGATTGAAACAGGTCAACTTTTGTTCATTTGAAGAATGAATTAATTCTGTAGTTGAGTGAATGCTTGAAGGATTTGTATCTCGATCATCTAGACTTGACCAAGCAAAATTATGGCTTACATTCGATGAATCCTGTTTATTAGGATGATCAGAAGAATTCAATTGGAGTGATTTCAATGCCAATAGACTATTCTCTAATTTTTCTTCGGAATCTGTTGTTGTCCTCAAGATATCCGGTGTATCTGATCGATGTCGTCGACTAATTTTGAAGATTACATAATCCGAAACAGACTATAAAAAACAAAGTTCATAGAATTTTAGTTAAAACGGATTTATTGAGAAATTCAATCTTCACTTCGGAAATTGTTTTCTTCTAATTATTATTATTATTATTTAAATCACTCGAACCTGCGTAGCGAAATTTGCAGAATAACGTGAATGCATTTTAACTACTCATATTGTTAAGTAGTGTATTTGGATAATGAACAACCACATAAAAGCATAGATGACATATTCGGATAATAAACATTCAACAGAATTGTGCATTGACTATGAGCCAATCCTATTTCGCTATAGAAATCATCACCTTTTAGTTAGTCATGGACAAATATAGCAAACCCGATCACTTCTTTAAGGATAGTGAATCGTATGTACACATATACAGCCATAAGAAAGATGTCCCATAAATCTTTTCAAGGAATCATGCACAGAAGTCTAAGGGTATTCATAAAGTCGTTAACACTCATCACAATAATGACCATAAATATCACATGATTAAGAACTATATACACAATTCGATCATAAAATATTTAGAATATGATGAATAGTTCAACATTCACTGACACAATCAAGAGAATCAAAACGTCTTCAGTTTTACACACCTTTTATGCAAGCAAGTAATCATCATGAAATAGTTTCATTGACTCTATACATATCAACAGTGTTACTTTTTCTTGTAAAGCAAAGTATTTTTGTGATAATCACACATATATGATAAAATAGTCCAATTGTGATTTTATTAGGTTCAATCAACGATAAGAAATGATAAGCCTAAAATATCTAAACTATACTCTACTCGTTGTACAAAAAGTGGCTATCATGATTCAATGACCTAGTGGACAACACTCTAGTGTTCGAAGTGGTTGGTCCTTGGTTCGAGTCCCGGTGGAAAAAACTCTCACTGAAGAAGTAGGTATATCCAACTGACAAGTCCTAAAATAAGGCGAAGCACCCATCCTGGATTATACTGCTAGTCTCTATCCATCATTAATATGAAAGTAAGATAGTAAGAACATTTAATGGGCCACCATCATTCCGGCAATTGTTTTGAGGTTGTTCATCGAATTCATACATATTTTATGAGATATCTTCGTTCTTCACATCCGAAATGGCGAACACTCTAGCTGTTCATGAATATGTATAGTCTATATCTTAGGGACTGGTTCTAATATTAGTTATTCCAACTTTCCCTCGTCAATGCTTTCAGTTTTCAATGTGAACAATTTCAGTGGTTGTTTTATTTAGTCATTTAAGTACAAGTTTTGAAAAACACATTTGTTATATTTTAATGCGTTCTTGATTGATAAATTCCAATAAAATGCATCCTTTTCTAATTTTTATATAGATGTAAAACTTTAAAATAATTCCGTTGAAAGGAAACATGAAAAATAATTCATTTTACTGAATGAATATAAACAAGTTTTGAGTCATCCTCTGTGGTCTGCTTAAATCTTGGGCTACCAAAAACTTTTCATCGATTACATTCTATAAAATTCTTCTCTTTCACAGTTTTTTTTAATCATCTAAATGTCTTTTGAACGCATTATGTATTCAAGCATGTTTTTTAAAATGTTTTCCAACTTTCGTTTCTCAAGCTAAGAAAAAAAACAAAGGAAAATACGTTCCACCAGTTGGAAATGGATTTGTAAATGCTCAAAAATACACCACATTACTATTCGTAGGATATCTGTATAGGATTGTGAATTTCTGTGCTGGCTACCAACTAAACTACCATCGTCAAAATTACACTCAATTTTGTGTTAATTTTCAGATAGAGAACAGACGCTAACGTGACACTAGCTTCTCACTTCACACTTATGCCTTTAATGCTGTTATTATTAACACTACGCAGATGTAGTTGAAATATTCCATGCTGAAAATTCTATACTGTATCATATATGTTGTTTGGAATAAAGCGATTATTCCTATTCTTATTTTTCTTATTCTCCTTCTTCTTCTTCATCTTATTATTATTATTGTTATTATTATTATTATTATTATTATTATTATTATTATTATTATTATTAATTACACAATCTGAGTAGTTCCCTAAAAAGAAATAAATTCACTACTGAACGACTGAGAACTGAATACGGGCAGTAATTTAAGTTCATCAAGAATCTTCAACATTAATAACGCAGTATTTTAACTACTGGTTTTGATCATAAAGGGTTTGAAATAAATCTAAAATTCGATAAAAATTTTACTAAGAATAACCAATATTAGAACAAAAATTTCTATGCTAAGTGATTACCTCCTTCTATAATACAATATTCTTATTTTTAATGCTTCATAGCTTGTAACTGAATGTGGTAAACATCTTGCGATAAGGTTCCGCTAAACAGATAACTAATGAATGGTTGTTGTCAAGGTAGTGTCGTATGTAACACACATTTCTAGCAGAGGCAGTCTACGCTTATTCTACAGCTTTACACAAAACGTTTGTTAGTAATAATAGTTGAAATTGTGCTTAACAGATATTGTTCAGTTAAATAATCGAGTGTGTAAACCACAGAAATATCTGTTAGTTGGTTGAAGACAATCAACAGGAAGTCGTAGACTAAGGTTTCATACTTTATGGCACTCGTCAACAAGGTGAATCTGCAACCTCTAAGGAACTTATGTCCCACCTGAGGTTCGAACCCGCATCATCAAGTGATGCGATTAGAGACGTTACCGCTGAGCTATTCGAGTCGCAACTGACTTCCTGTACGACTCGACTCGTAAAGCAACTAAGTTCAACGGAAGAGCAATCATTTTAGGCGGAAACTTAACAGATACTCAACCAGCAATGCTGAAAACAATGAAATGAATGTGAAATAGTAGCTAACAGCAAGAATTAAATACACTTGGGTTTATAAAACTATTTTCGACAGCTAAGTAGTCAATGTCCACCTAAAAAGCTTCAATTCATTATTTATTCAGTGTAATAATAAAAAGGTAAGTTTGAAGTCCCTTGGCGATCATGATAATCCCATAGAACTTTGATGGCAAGAATGTTTATTACCTGGGTTCCAACCACACCATAGACATTGCGTACTCTTTTCCCACCCTACATTTTAGCTGCCTGTGCGCTTCACTGTGTTTACAGTCTACATCCATTAAATCCAATGGCACTGCTGACATCTTATTTCCTTCTCACCGCTGTGCTTTTTAAGACTGTGTATAGTGCCGAGCTTCTGTGGGATGAGTGACTTTTTAAGTCCCGATAACGGTCTACTTAGTTACTATCTAAAGACAGCTCCAGCATCCTAATCATTGAGATAGGCTCAGGACGGTCTTAAATCCAATGTTTAGTTACCAGTGCATACAGCCTCAAGAGATTTGAAAGAACTTTCTGACTCAATTTTCCTTCATATTCACTTTATCTTGCTATGCGGCTGAAATATGGTGGTTTAAAGAAAAGGATATTAGAAAGTTATGAGTACTCAATAAAAGGTGTTTTCGTAACATTACTCAAATGTGTTCATGCCACATTTGAATCAATATTTAGACTACGGATAGAGTTTTGTATGAGGATGATGTGAACGCATACAGCCTAAGGTTGTTGGGATATAGATATTACTGGTGTGAAGACTTCATCTTTGCTGAAACTCTGCGTTAACTGGAGAAAGTGTGTTGGAATCAATGAAATTCTTTGAATGATGATCTGTTTGAGGTTGAGAAATGTAAGCTGCCTGGGTTAAGTCCCTGAGATACTGAAAATCGACATACGGTGATGATTGAAGGTGAAATGAAAATTTGAACCGCGGCCGAATTCAAACCAGCGACCACTGGCGGTTTCCGGCCCGATGCTCCACCAACTCACCTACCACATCCGACCGCTGACCACATTTTTACTTCACTTCAACCACCAAAGGTTTTGCCCACTACCATGTGAATTCGTGAGTGTTATTATCGCTTGATCGTATTCACACTAGCTATCTATTCAGGACCTCTCATACAAATCTGAAGCTAACTGAAGTAGAGAGAGGGAGCATCATACTGATTATCATTTTGACCACTATTTGAGACCGCCATGGTTTGGCAGACTTGTATTTATACCAACAGTTGGTAGAATATCAAGCCTGAAACCTGGTGGTTGCTGGTTCGAATCCCGCCGCGGTCCAAATTTTCATCTCACCTTTAATAATCACCTAGTTTCAATACTAATCTGCCAAACCACGGCCATCTCAGATAGTCAAAATGACATTAAGAATCAATGGTCGGAAACCTTCAGTGATATGACTGAAAATAAATCACAGTGGCACAGATGTAGGCATTATTGACCATTGCATTGGTAAATATTTTATTAACCTTCAATATATGTGTATACATAAAATTATTCAGATAACTTTTGATTTCAATCAATGACGGTAAGCCTGTCATTAAGACTTGGAGAAAAGTTCTCTGTTAACTGTCGCAAGTTAAGTGAAAAATTCCATGCAATTATGGTGATTACAAAATGAAGTGAATAAACACATGATAGTGTTACATTGATTATCCATAAGATTCACACATAAGCTTAGTATCAAATGTGGTGATATATCCTCCGTCTTATGCTAATGCAAGTATATAAATGTGAACTTAAAAAAGTAGAATGGAGTTGTGGCTCATTGGTTTAGGAAGACGACTTTCATGCAGTGTGTCAAGGGTTCGAACCCCACTCCATCTACCGAGGTTTCGGCGACCAGTTAGTATCGTAAGCCCTCATATACTACGTGTAGCTCATTCCTTACCGCATGAATGTCCACAAGATAGCTGAAAAGATTTCAACTTAAAAAATAGAAATGTCTGAGGAAGGAAAACAAAGGATGCCAAAAGGTATTTAGAAGCTAAGTCTTTAATTCAACAAGTAGTTATTAAATTTCATGGACATAGAATTGTTTTGGCAATCGATGAGAAAGATTGTTAACAGATGTACTTACAAAGGCCACGGCGACGTCAACAACATACACAATTTACAAGGTTTACACATATTACAATGGCCTTGGCTATTTCCAGGCCTTTCTAGGTTTAAATCTTAGTGATTTTTCGTCTCTTCAACCAACATGATACTTACACGTTGATTCACGTGTTTTTCCTTACAACTTTGAAGCAAAGCGATTGGTTGGAAAGAGTTTTAGGGAAAAGCGGCTTCTTATGAAGATTTTTTCAATCTTTCTACACACTATAACACCTCCCCTTTCAAATAGAGATTGATAGTACAATGATGAATTTTGATTGACCAGTAATGCTTTACAGGATCGTGATAAATTATTCCTTAATACTCTTCTGCTGAATCTGTGTTGAGATATAGTCTGGAGTAACTGAAATGTCTGAATCTCCTTACCACCCAATCGTGAAATGGCTAGCCGAAATCCTAGAAATTGTAAGACGACGAATAGCCATTCACTCTCTAGGTGATACTTTTGAATTTGTTAAAATGCTTTAAATTCATCCTAACCAGTTGTACGGATCTAAGCGTTGCATTGGACTCTTAACAGTGAAATGATTACATAAGTTCGCCAATCTTAGTGAACCAAATTCACTTAGGCATTTTTCGGTAAGCAGTGTCATCATACTGTTTGGTTTTGTTTGCCAACAAGACTCAGTTCCATAGATGATAGCCGGAGATCTTATATCCAGTTTGAACCAGAGTAATCTAAGTTTAATTTATCTGAATAATAAGGTACTCCACTATGTGATAAGTTATCATAGTCAACAACATAGTAAAATCAAAGTATGTGCAACACCGATAGCAACACAATAAAAAAGTAACCAGATCACTAAAGTAAGGTTCTAAACCAATTGCGAAGAACTCGATATTCCACTTGTTTCACAAGTGTGTGATACCGATACTGGCCTGAAAGATGCATCAGATACAAATTTTCTCTATAGTGTGGAAAGTTCACCAAGTTATCCAGTTCAGGTAATACAACAATACCACCGAAATTATCCTCTACAGCTCCTCTATTACCTCAGTTAGTTTCCAGAGTTGTTACTCTTCTTTACACTATCAAGTGATTGTATACACCCCTGTAAAAAACGCTTAATGAATAAGCTTTCCTTATGTTGGCTTGTTTTATTATTGTAACTCTAATATATTGCGAATATAGCCAAGGGTGTGCGCTACTTATTAGTCTCGAATAACAACAGGAAATTCCACTAATGATGATCGGTTTTGAATGGTCTTTCAACAGATGTTAGTCAATAACCGACTAAATTGCTGCAATGCCTGTAACTATACCTTCCGCATATTCACTAGTACCTACTGTAATTAGCTAACCGATTGTAGAAGTACTACAAAAATTAAGACTGTGAGACATAGCTGTTAGAAGTAGAAGACATTAAACGACTACAAAGTCTTGGTCTCAAATGTCTTCGTAGCATTGTTCGTAATTGATGGAATCACTAGGTGAGCAGTGTTGAGGTCAGACAAAGGGTACTAGGTAAGACAAGCAATGAGGTTGTAAACTTTAGTCGACTGAGACGGCTTGAAGATGTAGTGCGTGTCCCGAGCCACCGCCGACCTCGACGTGTATTAGATTGGAAGACAGTTTAGGGCGGTCAGATAAAGATATAGCACCAGTCGATAAAGTCCTTAACTGTTGGTCTGAGTTGTGTTGGTTGCTGCAGACTACCTGGCTAGGGTCCCTGAGGCGATGGGATTCAGTGGTTGAGGATTCTTAGTGAGATGGCTGAAAGTCAATCAGAATGGTGCAGATGTATTCACACCTTAGCATCTTCTAAAGCTTGAATAGTTGCACTATCATTTATCATCGAGCTGCTTGTTGTCTCACACAACTTTGATATTACTTCTATTCTATCCACCTGTTCTGTGTATACTACTATGGAGTGTGGCAACTTGGACCGACGTAATTGTCTTGAGGGTTCAACGTTGATTTTGTCTGACTGTTTGACAAAAGTTACCATTTCCCATTAGTAATGCTAATAATAATGTAATGGTAATATCCAAAGAAACTTACATTAATTATTTGTGCTGCTTGTTCTTGAGTTCCATTTTCTAAGTCTATTCCATTAATCTCTAATATACGATCATCTTTCTTTATTCTTCCATCAAGATCTGCTTCACAACCGGCTACAAGTTCTAGTACATAAAGCCCTGGTAAATGTCTACATATTCAGCAAAAAAAGTAATAAAAAATCAAGAAAGAGATCAATCAGATGACTAAATAAAAATATCCATCCTGAGCTGAAAAGTTTGTTAATAGAACACGCTAACAGGAAATAAAAATACATGATGGAGTGAGTTTCGATCCCATGGCCCACTACTACTACTACTACCGGTTAGTCATGACACACCTTCGCATAAATTATCAGCAGATAAGCAAATAAAAACATATTTATCACATAGATTTCACAAATATCTCTGTAAAAGGTAGATAAATAATGGATAGTAGATTTAGTAGGTTTATTAAATGATTAACCTTTCTTAAGTATAGCTTTCATCATCTCACTAAGAACAATCTCCTTCCAAGGAAGTCGACAACATTTATCTCTGATCATAGTCACATGAATTCCTCATTCAACATGAATACACTTACAAGTGAGTTATCAATAGAAAACGGAAAAACAGGGGTGTTGCGTTTACTATATAAAAGACGTATGAAATAAGTTTATAAGCACTAGAAGATATGAAAATATGAATTAGATAAGTAAATATGATACCCTCAAATCAAAATGTAACTTCACCTAACTAATAGTTGTGGAAGAGATGACTGCGTAGGCAGTCCAACAACACTAGTCAGAGTAAACCAAGACACAAACACCCTAACAAGTTAGGTAGTTTTATAGCCAAATGGAAATATTCACCCCAGAATAACAAGTGTGAGTTGAAGGATACTACTACTACTATAAAACTTGAGTAGTAAGGGACAACTCAGGCTGATGTGTAGATTCTGCCAGTCAGCCATACCAGATTAATCTAAAGATCGGATGACCGTTTCGCTCATTCAAAGCCAGTTTGATGATTAGTGTAATCAAACTATCAAAACGGCCATCCCATGTTTAGATTACTATGGTTTGGCTGGTTGGTGAAATCTACACATCAGCCTAAGTGATTTCTAATTACTCAAGTTGTCTAGTAGTAGCGTATTTCGTTAGTCTATGACACTTTTGTGTCAGAAATGACACCTTGTGATCTTGAGTAGATGGTTTCCAGTAGAAACCTTGCTGACACAACAGTTGAAAAAAACTATTCAGTTGTGAGAAATGTCAAGGTGGACCGTGGAATTTGTAAATCATTTGCAAAAATGTTAAACAAATTAATAATGCTATTTAGGACTGAAATAAAAAGGAGATACTACTTTACACTGTGACTTTGTAAGTTTTGTTGAACAAAAAGATCAACTTATATCACGCTCATCTTAGGCAATATCAAGTGGTCAATTTTCGCTCAAACATTATCGACTGATTTAAAATGTTATGAACAACAATTTTACGCACCGACTTATTATTATTATTACTATTATTAAGAATTAGCAACATCAAGTTTAAACTTGAGAAGAGAACTGCTACGGTTATATGACTTCATCAAAATAATAACGATAATGCAAATCAACAAGCACGTGCAGGTTTGTATACCAGGGAGTAGTAAGTCACAACTACCGTTGAATAATTGATGATATTCCCATACTTTATATAGAGCAAAAATGTATTGAATATTTAGTACAGTTGTGGCTCATTGGTTTGGGGAGTTGGCTTTCAACCAATGAGTCATAGGTTTGAACACCATCGCACTTACCAAGGTTTGGGTAGCCAGATAGTATCACTAGCCCCCCACATACACATTAAGTGTAGCTCATAGCTTACTGTACGAATGTCCATAAGATAGCTAAGTGGATTTCAATTCAATTTCTAGGGACAGTTGAAGTGTTAGTTTAGGAATACAGATTTACAGTCTACAGATAGATTTCTCGATCATTTTCTCCTAGCATGTTATTTTAGAATAGATGAGGTATGGAAAATCAGGAAAATGACGAGGCCAGTAAGAATAAGAACAAAACCACGTTATTTATTTTGACTGATTTAATTTTTCCCACACAGATGGAAATAATAAGAGTTCTACTGAAAAATGATTCAAACGTACCACAAGTCAAGGTTGAAAGAAAATAATTTCATAAAGCAATCAGTCAAACGCATATCATCCCCACTAATCTGAAAGTTTGAAACATTCATTTACCACGGTTGTTTTAATGATGATGCCTCTTTAATTATAGATAATGATTTTAAGAGGCAAAAACGTACTTGAGAAGAAACTTTGATAGGAAGATTTTCAACACAATTCTTCATCAAATGCACCTTTTTAATCAAGAAATGGGATCACAATGGAGTATTTAAACAGTCCAAATGTTTGGGAGCTTTCAGTAACTTATTCTACTGTTAGGAATGAGTGGATTATAAGTTCATCATAATGAGTCCCTACTGCTCATTCATACTAGTTCACCAATTTTCGAAGTAAATAATATTTCAATACACATTCCAACTACTAGGAAGTTGGTACGTATGACTTAAAAGTTCAGTGTAATCCAATGGAGAACGAAACTACCCTGTCGTCAGGATGTGAAATAAATTTCAGTACAAGAAAAGAATAAGTCGATAGGGGGAGGGGGGTAAAGAACGAAATCTTACCACTTAGATATCAAAGATGATCCTAGAAGATTACTAGGCTTACCTAAATTAGGTGCAACAAAGTTACAATACTGCTTTAAATCAATATGATTAGATTTACCAAGTGGACATGAACCTACTCAAACTACAAGCAATTAAGCCAGACTATTTATAAAATATATTTGTATGAAAGGAACCAAATAGTTATGAATGCTTTAGAAAGAAAAACAGGAAATGGAAGCCATCTTTAAAACACTACTGATGCATAACAAGTACTCACAAAAGTTGTTCATCTTAATGATGACACAAGAGTGGGAAACAAAATGCAAAAGTCAGAACAGTCAGCGTTTCCAGCAATACTTTGGATTTCTGTTGCATAATGGGTTGGGTAAGACTTCTGATATACAGTTTCTTAAAATTAAGTGATTTTACAGGGCATAAGTACCTGATAGTAGTTAAATGAGATATGTCAAGCGCTTTCTTTTTAAGTTTCAACCAATGTAATATATTTAAATGAATATTTGTCTGAACTGAAACAGGATGATCAATTTGCAAATGATTTACAGATTCCACGGTCCACATTGACATTCCTCACAGCTGAGTAGTATTTCAACTGTCCAACTATGGTGCCAACAGGGTTTTCGTTGGAAAGAACACAGTGGTCAAGTTTACAGTGTGTGATGTCTGACAAGAAAGTGTCACGAACAATTTGAGTAGTCAGAGACAACTCAGGCTGATCTGTAGATTTCACCAGCCAACCAGATCATATAGGAGTGATCTAAACACCGAATGGCCATTTCGCTCGTTAGGGGTCGAGCTGATTAGCAGTGTACCCGGACAAAGTCAGTTCATACAGCCAAATTAGTTCCGATACGAATGATGAAAAAGGGACTGATTAGGCCTTATGAGATGACTTTGTCAGGTTACACTGCTAATCAACTCGGTCACAAATGAGTGAAGTGAGCATCTAGTGTTTAAACCACTCTGACCTGGTTGGTTAGAGAGATTTACACATCACCTCGAGTGATTTCTAACTACTCAAGTTGTTTTTTAGTAGTGATACGTTTGAATATTTATCTTCACAGTAGTCTCATGTAATATAATTGAATTAATAATTTGCAATGAATCACTTACTTTTTCCCAACAAGCTTAATTCCAAGAACGTTTCCTTGACGTTTACACAACTTGACATAGAATATTTCTAGAAGTTCAGCAGAGAGAAAATGAAACCAATTCATACAATTAATGAGGTGAACAATGTATATCAGTATCCGGAAACCATAACAACAGAAGAATAATACACTTATTGTTCGGTGACAGTCTTCATACTAGAAAACTTCAAGAAAAGGTAGTTGATGACTAGCATCAAAAGTGAATGGAGAAAAAAAGGAAGAAACAGTGTACCTACACAAGTCAATATATGATGCAATGTACAGCATATACACGTTTTTTTTTCTGAATTGAAACATAACAGTTGTTACTTAACACATGTTTACCATTAAATTTTTACACAACTGATACATATATACGCATAAAAATATTGAGCAAATAACCGAAATTAAATGTAGGTCAACACGCATACAGCGACTTATAGACCTAGTTAGTATCCAACAGTTGTTAACCTCTCATGTTGAACTAAGAAAATTTTACTTCTCCACTATATGATAGTGCTATCAATTAGTAAAACAAGATTATAAGCGTATGAAATGGTAATTCTGTAAGTGCACTTTCTTAGAGTCAATTCATTCCAGTTCTATGAAAAAGAATTTTGAATGATTTTTGTTCTCAGTGATGTTAGATATGGATTTCAGGTTGGCACTCATCATGGACTGATATCAGTTGGACAACCATAGTGAGACTCCTCAGTAGTGCACACCCACGACCCCCCCCCCAGAGGGGCTTCAGGTTCCGTGGGCAGCAGGCCCTTGGTTCGATCCCTGGGATGTGGGACACGGGTATGCATTACTCAGGAGTCTCATATTGGGACGAAATAGCTGTCCAGTGTGCTCCCAGGTTTTTAATGTTCCTCCAACTAATGTCAGTCCATGTTGAATATCAACGTGAAATCAATAAATAAATCCCCATCGACTTCCAAATTGAATATTCGATATCAATACTTCTTATTCAATATATGATTTTGAGTAGACTGGGGTACGAACTTGCAGACAGATTATATAGTATAAATAAATACATTTACTCTTCTAACTAGGAAGCAAAGTATTTCATATTATCAGTTTTTGAAACACATGTTATTTGCAGGTGAGAACACACATGTGAATACGTCCAGTTAGTCAGTCACGGGTAATTTCTCCATTATGCGCAAATGTGCCTCTGTTCATACTCACTATTAAAATATCTATGATTCTTTGTGTGACTGATTTAGAAAAACTGAAGTCGTGATGTGGGGATGGGGTGTTAACTTTTGGTCACTTGAATTAATCCAAATGAATTTTTATTACTTAAGTCGAACTGCAGCATAATGATACACTTAAGTGACGTCATGCATCCACATTGAGCAATGGAACGTATATGTACTATCCAAGAAGCTAAGGATGCGAGAAATAGACGTAATTATACCGATGCAATTTTTAATCCGTTATTTCCCACTGATATAAATATTAATTCTATTGAGGGAAAATTATTTCAAAAAAGTATTTAAGAAATAAACATCCATAGAAAATCCGAATCATGATTTCAGTAGATTACAAGCATGTGCAAATAAGTAGAGAAAAGAACATGAAAAGAATCCATGTAAAATGTATTCAACAAGGCTTCATTACTCTAATAAGGTTATTCGCAAAAAAGAAGATGCAAGGAGTGGTGGGGACTATTTGTAGCTCAGATGGATGGCCTTGGTTGTAATGTGTTCTCTGAGCTGGGTTGTTTAGTCATGGAGTTTTGATCGTCTTGCTAAACGATATCATCAGCACTAACTTCAGTATAAAGTACAACTAAACAACCCAGCTTAGAGAACACAATGCAACCAAGGAAGATGTATCAAAATTACTACTGCTCTCATTTTCGAACTCCATATGATACTGGATCGTTAATGTCCACAACATTTCAAATCACACAACAAGTAAGCAATAAAGACAGGTGAGTAGCTTACAAGAAGAGAACGACATTCCCTTATTGATAATACACAATAGGAAAACATTTCCATGTATTCTATCTCTAATCCCCCATCCCCCTAGTATGAATGACTGTCACACTTGAGTGTTTCTATCTGGAGGTTTGCGGAGATTTCTTAATTGATTTTAGGTTGAAATCCGTCATGGACTGACATCAGTTGGGGGAACATTGAAAACCTGGAAGCACTGGACAGCTGTTTCCTCCTAGTACAGGACTCTTCAGCAGTGCACACACATGACCCCCACCCCACCGGGGATCGGAAGCAGGACCTTCGTGTTCCGTGGTCAGCACGTTACCACTGAACCGTTAGGTCAGAATCCAATGATCCATATTTCATACTTCTGTCAGTTCACGATATAGCGCGATCCTTGGAGGGGTCATGGATGCGCACTCCTGAGGAGTCCTATACTAGGACGAAACAGCCATCCAATGCTCCCAGGTTTTTAGTGTTCCTCCAACTGATATAAGTCTATGATGAATTCCAACCTAAAACACTTGAGTGCGTCAAATGGAATGAAGATACGTCTTTAACTACCATTTAGCATCTATAAAATTTGCATATAGGAATATCATTAGGAAATATGCAACAACAATAAATAATAATTTAAACAATACCTTGTTGATACTGAGGTTGTACTTGTTGTGTAGTCAAGGCGACTGGTTCACGAAAAACAGTGAACTGTACTATTGACGAAGGAGATGTCAGAAGATTGTGTGCCTCAGCGTGTGTAACATGTGTCAATAAATTTCCATTTACCTAAGAAAAAATCACAATAAGTTATATAATCTATAAAGTGACACGTTCAATTATGATTTTTTAAAACTTATCATACACGAAAATGAGTCAATTTAAGCTGCCATACACTTATTAATTAGTAGTACTGAAATTGCAATTTCAAGTGCTCCATTTCATATTTTGAAATCTAGTAATATTTGATTTCCTACTACTTAGTCCACTTCGTGTTTTGTGTGAAAGTGTTCAAGAAAGGTGGAAGTTCAGGCCAGTGAACTACTACTTCTACTACAATACTATATTTTGATGTTACACAAACAAAGTTTCCGATTAGCTTTAAGACAGATTACATCCACATGTTTATTAAAGCGCCGTGTTTCTGACTGTAGTCTCTTAATAGTTGGAGATTATTGATGATATCGGTTGAAATCTACCAAGTAGTGATGTAAATATAGTGAATTTAAATCTTTTTCTTTGTATTTATCTGTATACTTCTTCAATCTCATGGTTTGTATCTCCTCTCCTCTTATAGTAAATAAACAACGCATAAAAATAGGCAGATAAAGGGAGTACTGATAATGAATGCGACATCCATATATACATGAAGAACCAACCAAATAAACTGGGATGTGCAAAGGCTAATTTACTATGAAAAAATACAGCAGTAACTGTAGCGGATTTAACAGCTGACTAGAAAAATCAATGTAGAACCTCGAACACAACTGCATCAGCTCAAGTTGCAACACTTCACAGTAGTGCACAAAGAACAGGTGGATAGAAAAAAGACTAATATCAAAGTAGGGTAAAGTAGTGTGAGAGAATAAACAATTTCAAGATAACGGTTGGTGAGAATATTCAAGCTTTAGATGTCAAGGAGTGAATAACTCTGCGCCATTGTGACCGGTTTTCAACCAATACACCACTAATTCTTTTTTTTCGCGGACCCCAACCAGGGGAGTCTACATCTCCCCATACGTCTCAGACTAACAGTAAGAGACTTCATCGACTGGTGCCACGTCTTCGTCTAACCACTCTGAACGCTCTTCTAACCTAGTGCGTCGAGGGAGGCGGTGGCTCGGTATGAGCCTTAATATGTCCAAACCATCTAAGTCGACTAAAGTTCACAACCTCATCAGTCGATTTGCCTGACTTGCCTACTACCCTCCTCTTGATCTCAACATTGTTCACACGGTGATTCCACCAAGCGCGAGCAATGCTACGAAGATATCTGTAATCAAAACTCTGTAATCGCTTCATGGCTTCTAAGCTTAACGGTCGTCTGGCAGTCGTACAAAATGCCACAACGGACCGCGGTGCAGTATATTCGTCCTATGACAGATGATCGGATATTTCGCCACCTGGCACCACAGATAACGCAAGTTTGCAAATGCAAAACGAGCCTTCTGTATCCAAGCTGAGATTTCGTCAGCAACCACCCCGTTCGGGCTGATGCAACTCCCCAAGTAGGTGAATCGGTCGACAGATTCCACCACTTCACTCCCGACCATTAGACTGGAAGTCATTACAGAGCCGTTATGAGGCATCGTCTCATATTTGACAGGTGTGAAACGCATCCCAAACATACAACCTGCATTTCGTCAAGTGATTTAACAAAGGAATCAGAATACTTCTTAAGCACAACAAAATATTTGATAGAATATACTGACTGATGAAACTAGATAAAAACAGAAATACTCCATTATAGTTACCTCAAGTAATTGATCGCCCGGTCTAAGACGTCCATCAGTTGCAATTGGACCATCTAAATAGATTTCTTGAATAAGTATGCACGCCTACAAATGAAAAACGAAAACACACTGCAGTCAATAATGTTGAATACAGAAGCAAAATCTCTCAAAACACCACCACAAAATCAAATATTATAGTACCAGTGTGTAGAGATGGATGTCTCGAATTTTCAGCAGTAAGTGATCACAAATGAGAAATGAGAAATGTCCAACGTTGATCGCGGTATATCAATGTCATAGCGTGCAATAAGATTGTCAAGATCTCCATAAAAAGCCGCAAACCCCTGAAGCCTCCCCCAAACAATCCTGTTGCTTAAAGTTTTCGAGAAAAGGTACGTGAATCAACCTCCAAATACCAGATTGATTGAAGAGAGTAAAATAGATAGGATATCCTAATCCAGAAAGGCCTGGACACAGTCAAAGTCATTGCAAATACATATAAACCGTTATATTTTGTATATAATTTGACGTTGCAATATGCTTTCTGTTATCTTACCACCTTTCCATTTACCGAGTTGAGAGACCATCAAGGGGGGAATCTGAAGGTTATTCTTTAAGTGTTTATTCTCACATATATATATATATCAAGTTAATACAAGGATGTAACAATAGCGAATTGACTGGAGTTGGACAGTGATCACTATGACTAAAATATCATAAGCTCAATAATGTGTCGAAATGATGTGCAATGATAAACTATACAAGAGGAGTAGAGGATAACAACTGTTCATTTAAGTACCCGTCCACAGTGCAAACTGTATTCATATGGTTAAACAGTTAAAAAAGAATATACCAAATGTCTACATTGTATAAAAACGCTGCATGATAACTAATAGTATTCAATCGCTCTACTCTTTTCGTCTAAAATTAAATTTAATAAGACGGGAACATCACTTCCCTCAAGTTTGCAGATACGCCTTGATAACGAATGTCAACAAGCACGAGATCTAGGTTCAAGGCTTACTGTCGATTCACACACACACACACACACACACACACACACACACACACACACACACACACACACACACACACACACACACACACACACACACACACACACACACACACAGTTCACATCACTTAGCTATCTTGTGCATATTCGTGCAGTAGGCAATGAGTTACACCTGTGTGAGGGCTAGTGATACTACTTGGTCGCCCAAACCTAGACCCATTGGTTGAAAGTCACCTCCTTAAACCAATGAGCCGCAGCTCCTGTCGATCGTCTCCAACCAACTACCAGTTTGGCAAATCATTTTAACAATGACTAGATTATTTAGAAACGCTTTGTTGACGGTGTTCGCCAATGGACTTTACAGTAACTGCTCCAAATATCACGTTATTTTAGTCTACCGCTGTTGATTACCTTACTGGTTAATAAATTTGTTCATCTTCTTCCACTTTCTGTAGATAGTTTGAATAGGAAACCAGTTGGCATAGTTGAAGATCATATGATAAAAAGTAGTTCATAAAAAAGACAAAACAAAAACTCACCAGTGGAGTATCGATACCACCAACAAATGTGAAACCCAAATCCATACAATTAGATGGACGATAAATTATTATTGAAACAGGAACACCTTCATAGATGGTTGATGAGTCAGCTGATAAATTGAGTAAAATATGAACAGTAAAAATATATCGAAGATGACGATGAGACATTTACACAAATCATAAAATTATTTTGTAAACTTTTAACAAGACTATGAATTCAATGTTGTTTCTGAGAGTATATACTCATGAACATCTTCACTGATTGGTGGTTGGATAACCCACAAATGAACATCAAGCTTTAGTAAACAAATCAATTAAAAAACCATACTCAAAGGATCAATTACTAAATTGAAATAAAGCTTGATATTCCAAACAGTTCAAAAGTGAAAATACACGTGTAAATTGAGATATGCCAACTTTGATAACTTCTTCACACAACGACTAACGAATCAAGAAACAATCCCAGGAGCTGCAACCGATAATGAACAGACAAAACTGAGTATGTTCCTGAAACTTTCTCAAGAGTGACTTCTTGGACAGACCACTGAAGGTAAATTTACATCCTTGTATAAGATCTGAAGAAGACAGGAGTGAAACAAGGTTGCCTACTATCACCGATGATCTTCCTGATTGTGGTCGACTCGACTGGATCATGCAACAAACTGTGAGAAGCAAGAAGATAGGCATACGCTGTTTGATCGATGAAGAGACCCCAGAAGAAGATTTGAATTTCGCCGATGATTTATTTTTAATGTCGCACAAACTCGAAGATCTACAGGTAAAAATCAATAACTTGGAAGAAGAGGCAGGACAGCTATGACGGGACTTCAGGTGAACGTGGAGAAGACAAAGGTGATAAAAATACCCAACCACCACCACCACGACCAACAACAAGCACCAATCACCATCAACAGGAGAAATCAAAAGGAAGTTGTCTCTTCCACCTACCTAGACAGCATCGTTTCAATCACAGGCGGCACATATGAGGAGAACGTCAAAACCAGGATTGGTAAGACAGCAAGACAAACCTTCATCAATCTGAAATCAGTGTGGAGATCTACTCCATTCAGCATAAAGCGTGAACAAGATCCGAATTTTCAACACTAATTCAGTCAAGTCAGTGCTTCCATGTGATGGTTCAGAGGCTTGGCACCTTACGAATAGCATTCCCAACAAATTACAGACATGCATCATATCAACAGCTGCCACCTACGCTCACTCGATACCGAAGATCAAGTCAGGTCAAAAAGACTAAGCAACAAGGAATTCTGGTCTGAAAAGGGACCAACCAACAATCTATCATCCAACAAATATGCAGAAGAAAGTGGAGATGGATTGGATTGGACATACACTGAGAAGACTGTTTGGAGATATCATGCGCCAAGCCAAGCCATTGGGTTGAACCCAAATAGGGAACGATGAGTTGGGTGTCCAAGGGTGACATGTAGGAGAGATCTGTGAGGAAGAAATGAAAGCTTCTGGGCAGTCGTCGAGCCAGGTTAAGGAGACTGCAGAGAGTAGAGTGAAATAGCGACGTGCTAGTGAAGCCCTATTTTCCAAGGGAAATATAATAATAAATATAAGATTTGAAAAATTTTCGATTACTGATTAGAAATAACCCTATATTTTGGTAATTCCAGGTTGAAGTTTGGAAGGTGATGATATTTCTTGAAAATAACTATAATTTGTTTCTATTACAACACAAAATGTGATGAAATTGGGAACCAGGGTATGCACAAAAAAATTAGAACAACGATGTGGAGATTTAAAAAAATAAATAGTAAATACAAACTAACGTAATTGATCATAAATAATAAAGCATTTCATTAGGGGAAAAGGTTTAAATAAGTTTTATTTGCCTTTATTTTAACCTATAAAATCCACGATACTACTTATGTATGTAAAAGATAAAAGAAACTGATAAGGCATTGACAGTGAATTCAACTTTAAGCTGTCCAGCAACGTTTCAAATCACTGGGTCGCATGATTGTCACATACCTCTGACCGAAGAAATACAATGCATCAATAGACCTAATATAAATATTTTTTTATTACACGACACCACATAAAGAACTGACTATTATTTCGCTTCTTCCAGTCAGTCTTAGCATCACTGATTGTTACTTGGCATAGCATATGCACAAAATGTACACGCTGTTAGAACACCACTGAATTTCAATATCACTCATACAGCATTACTAACGGAAACCAGTACGCTTAGTAACACAGAACTCCAATAATCATCATCAGCTTGAAGAGGCAAATAGAGTTGAACAACATAGAACCTGGCAGAGCTTCATAACAGTCAAGTTTTCCCTTCAAAGAACTGAGAGAGCACTTAAAGGAGAATGGAAAAATGGGAACTAAATAAGAATAAAAGCGGAGTAAAGCGCAGGTCATCAGGTCTCATGGTGATTGAGTCCATATTAATGAGGTTGAAATCTCATGGTCCACTAATTCTTACTTCTATCAGTTCGTGATGCAGCTCTATTATCATTCAATAAGCATCCCTGAGCATCTGTCTCACTTCCGACTTAGTTAACCCTACAGGTTATGACTTCTCATTAGAACTTGAGGAACTCCAGCATGAAGCAAGTTGCTTATGAGCAGTGGGTTCGACCCCTTTTGGGGTCACAGGTGTGCATCTCTGAGGATCCAAAATCCCGGACGAAACACCTACCCAGTGATCCCATTTCTCGAATAGTTTCTCAACTGATGTAGACCAGTGAAGACCATTTTCAAAACAAATATTTTATAACAGGAAGATAGATTATCAAACTTTTGTTCATTGAATGTATGTCTAATTCGAGCAGTAAGAATGGGTTGATAAAAGAAGTGATAGGACTATGTAAAATTGGTCTCAAAAGTTGTGCGGTAACCTCACTAGAACCATGGAAGATAGACTTCACTTGAAATATTATCCACTGAATAAAACTACCACTATATACTACATCAAACAAACAAATCGAATATGGTACTAAGGTTAGGATCTTCAAACTTTCAAATATGATACAAGTTTCTTTTAGACAATAATATCTTTCATTGTCGCAGATAGCTATATGAAAATTGTGACACCAATCTGTCAAGCTCCAAACTGAAACTCGTGATCATCTAAGGAGGTCATCCTGGAATTGTGAATCGAATTTTGATTGGTAACAGTAGACAGTTATTTAGACTTATTAAGGCAACTGCGGGGAAAAGGTCAACAACAGTTAGTCAGGCTATTGCGGAGAAGGATGGATCTACGATTCAAACGCAGGGGAGATAACTGAAACGATGGGCAGAAAACTTCGAGGGAACAGTTTAACTGACCCCCAGCCACCATTGCGCTACCCGCTATCCAGTCGGATCCTGAATGGAACATTGAGATAGGTCCCCCGACACTATAAGTCGAGAAAGCAGTAGGTAACCTGAAACGAGGAAGGGCAGAAGGACCAGACGAACTACGATGGTGGTAAGGTGCTCTTAGTCAGGTCAGCGGATGTGTTACCCAGTATATGGGAATCAAATACGATCCTCTCTGACTCGTCTAAATCACTGATTACTCCAGTCTTCAAGAAAGGCGAGAAGTCATCTTGTGATAACCACACAGGAATCAGCCTGACAAACATAGTATCCAAAATCCTAGGTTCAATAATTCTCCGACGCCTGAGTAGAGCTCGGGAACACCAAGCCCGAGAAAACCAAGCAGGATTTAGACCCGGCCGTGGGTGTATCCACCAAATATTCACACTGCACCAGGTCCTGGAACACAGGCACGCTTACAGACACCCGACGACAGCTGTATTTCTCGACTTGAAGGCGGCATTTGACACCGTTGATCGAGAAGTCTTATGGCAATGTCGCTCACTGAAAGGCGTGCCTAGTAAGTACATCACCTTATTGAAAGCTCTCTACTCGAACACTTATGGGCATGTTAGAGCCTATGGTGAGTTGTCTAGGGAGCTATACTCATCGAGTGGTGTCCGTCAAAGGTGTCCACAGTCTCCATTCTTATTCATTTTTATCATACATATTCTTATGGAGGTTTCCCTCTCGTTACCTAATTACACAGACGTTGACCCAATCACAGGTGAATTTTCTTTAGATCTAGAATATGCAGATGATATAGTTCTGTTAGGTGAAGACTCTGACAAGATACAGAGTCTTTTGAACACTTTGAGTGGCAATTTCAGAATGTTTGGGATGCGTTTCTCACAACCCAAATGCAAACTGTTGCTCCAAAACTAGTCTTCAACGGTGCCGCAGCTAACAATAGAGAGTGAAGTGGTCGAGTGTGTCGACCACTTCACTTACCTGGGAAGTAGGATCAACCCTGGCGGATTAGTAGCCGATGAAATCTCTGCACGGATACAAAAGGCTCGGCTGACTTTAGCCAACTGACGGCATCTGTGGTGCCACCACTATATCCGATTGTCTATTAAGGGTTGCGTGTACTGCACAGCAGTCCACTCTGTTCTGCTGCACAGCTGTGAAACATGGCCACTGAAGGTGGAAGACACGAGAAGGCTTCAGGTGTTTGACCACCGTTGCCTTCGTAGTATAGGGGGTATTCTGTGGTGTCACCACGTGAGTAATGCAGAAGTCAGGTGTTGAGTTTTAGGGTAAGTCAGTTGACACGATTGTGAACCTTCATCGACTGAGATGGCTGGTTGCGACGTGTTACATATGCGTGTCTCGTCACACAATGTTGGCCGAAGTAGGTTCAGGTTGGAAAAGACTCGAGGTGGTTAGACTAAAACATGCCATCAATGTATGAAGTGTTTGACTGTTGGCTTGAGCCAAGTGGGGCTATGCAGACTAGATGGTTGGGATCCGCAGTACAAGAGAAACCAGTGGTTAGAGACTCCATGTGATCTGGCTGAGAACTGATGTCAGTTGGGCAAATGTATACACACACTGTCCTCATCTTAACGACGCTATATCGAATGTCACCATTTTCTCATTCTTCCTTTCTCTCTTTTAGTACTTTATATTTCTTTTGACTGAACTTTTTTTCTTCATCTTCCACTTCACTGCCCTTTTACTTGACGTACTGATATGAGCTATGGCAACTCGGACCGTTACACAGTAATGCCTGGTCCTATGTTGATTTGGATGGATGGATGGATAGATGGAGTTCAATCCACAAGTCAGTGAAGCAATATCAACTTCCGTGATAACCAGTGTCCAGTACAGAGTTTTACACCATTCGTTCCTCGTAGATCGATGAGCCTAAGTACAAAACTGATTAGAAATCAAGGTTTATCACATTGTGAGGGTTAATTCTACCCTATGACTGATTAGACCACAGCACAAGAAGTTAGGTTTATACTCTTGAAGCATTGGTTGAGAGTTGGGTATCTAAATATGTGAGCGACAATTCCAAGTCACAGATATTTTTAAGCATAACGTGAAGCAAAATTCGTTTACATTTACCATAAAACCACATATTGTTTATGGAAATGTATTGGCTAACAGGTTGTGAGAAGTGCGACAAGGGTTTATGCGTTGGACTTTTAATCAGCAGATAACCTGTTTAAATGTAACCAATTTATATCACGTTAACTTTTCCATTCCACTGACTTTATCAATCCTCACTATGAGGTGAGAGGTTCAACTTATTGTCTAGACAGTCATCTCGAAAGTAGTTATTGAGTTGCGACATAAAAGTTACACACTGACCATCAGTAAGATAGAATTTCAATCCTTCAATTTTGACACTGAAAATCAAACTTACATGGATAATCGGTGGGAGGTAAATTGGTATTACAGTCTGCTTTAATCATTTTATCTGACTCGATTCGTGTGACTGGTGAGAATGCATGAGGATACTCCTTTATAAAATGGTTTGGATAAACAATACCAAAGCTGGATCCATTATTGGGACTAGGGAAATTCATGTTCTTTGGTTGCTGATGTTGTTGTACCAAGAGACCACTTTTCATAATTGTTTGTGGATCCATTACCCTAGGACATCTCGTCGACTCGCACACTGATGATGGCAACATGTTTGAGTCAAGTGATTCAGTTCCAACGAAAGTGGACAAGAAGACATTTTTCGGTTGACTATGATGAACTGGACGAGATGTCTTCACCCCACCACTTTGCATAAACCGTTCTCTGGATGAATGTACACCGATACACCAATCACGTAAATGTTCTTCAAGATTTGCACGATACATTATACTATCACAGGGAGGTGAATTAGGACAAGCAACTAATAATTTATCCAACAACCTGGAAGGTAGAAAAATATAAATAATTTACAACTTAGTACAAAACGTTCACAAAAACTTTCTCATTTACTTTCCGTTAGATATAACCAGATAGAAAAAGGAACTAAACATGTAGTAATCAAGTATATCTTGATGTGCCTGGGAAAATGTCTTCTAGAAAACAGACAGATCGACTAAAATGCTGACAATAGATTTCTCCCAGTTACAACGATATCGACCGCCTCAATAGTATTGTGATTCAGTAGTGCAAACACGCGATCGTGAACCATTGGACTATAGATTTAAATCCATTCCACCTGCTACAGTCTGAGTAAAGGGAATAACAATTACACAACCGACAGAGTGGATCAATTATACTCAAAAGAATGCATTGTTTCATGATCTGAAAGTCAGAGATCTTATCTTTTGAGGTGAATGGGGATTTTAATTTTGAGGTAGTATTCATAATGGACTGATATCAACTGGAAAAGCAATGGAAACCTGGGAGCACTGGATAGCTATCTCGTCCTACTTTGGGAATCCTCAGTAGTACACACCCACGACCCCGTTAGGGGTCGAACCTAGGACCTTCTGGTTTCACGGCCAATGCGTTAACCATTCAGCCACTGGATCGGAGTTCAATGGTTCGCAGTTTCTAAATTCTGTCGATTCGTGATATAGCGCGACTATCACCTAAGGTCTTCAAATGGCATCCGCTTCCCTTCCGACTGGTGAACCTGTGAACCACTGGACCGTGACCGAGTAGCTGAATGGTTAACGCGCTCACCGTGAAACTTGAAAGTACTCAGTTCAATCCCTAACCGGATCGTGGATGTGTACTGCTGAGGAGTCCCATGCTAGGACAAAAGGGGTGCGCAGTGCTCTCAGGTTTTCAATGGTTCTCAAACTTATGCCAGTCCGTGATGAATACTACGTCATAATATCTGATCGGTTTATGTCGAATTGTTCTCTGTTCACATGATTTGTTTTAACTTTATTCTGACTTTTTTTCTCGTGCTATTTGTCTCTCGATGTCAAGTTCTGCTACTTGAACTTGTGTTATTCTGTACGGAGTCCTATGTTGTTGTTTTGTCACATAAAAAAGACACTTCTTTAGAACACTGATGCATATGCCCACAGGATTATGTCAAAACCAGTTCTTCACATTGGTTGTCTTGATTATGAATTAGTGACAATCAACATCTTTATTTTGTATGCGTGCATGACCATTGTGGTCAGATATGTTCCCTTTACTAATTGATGTGATAACTGGTATCGGGTTTGTTTTCTGCAGAAACTGTTTCCTCCGACGTAGCGAAAGGTCAGTAATTCACCTTTGCATTTCATTCGAATATTTCAAAATATATTTTCAATATCAACAGAGATATTACTATTTATTGATATACTTGTAATTCTCCGTTGTTTTATTGGTTCGAGTTGTTCGACCTCTATTGACATATGGGCTCCTATGCGGATGCCTCGATATTGCCTGAATGTTAATAATGGTAATTTGGTTGATTGTGGCTAGCAGAGGAATTCAGGACGCGCGTCTCGTACTATTTAAGGCTTGCCAGTTGGACGTACCTGCACCCCAGTGAGTGATGTTGTTCCCTGAGACTCGAACCTGCCAGCCACAATCGACCAAATTATTATAATTAACATTCAGGCAATATCGAGGCATCCGAATAGGAGCCCATATGCCAATCGGGGTCTAACAACTCGAACCAATAAAACAATGGAGAATTACAAGTATATCAATAAATAGTAATATCTCTGTTGATATTAAAAGTATATATATATGTCAATGGAGGTCGAACTATCCGATCCAGTAAAACGACGCAGAATTACAAGTATATTAATAGATAGTAATAACTACGACCCATTGTACGAGAAGTGGCTATCGTTCCTTCGTGGCACAGTGGATAACGCCTTGGCGATTGAAGCGATGGGTACGAGGTTCGAGGCGCAGCGGCAACAACATCTCTCCGCACTGAGGTTCAGGTACATTCAGCTGATGAGTGACAAATAAGATGAAACCCACGTCCTGGATGCCTCTGCTAGCCACAACCAACCAGATTACTATCAACAGAGATAGTTATAAAATACGATTTTCTATTACTTTTTGACAAGTTGTCAAAACTAAGACATGTAACTTTTTTGGCATCTAAAGGAATATTCCTAACGACTCTGAGTGACAGATGGAATTTTTTACTAGACGAACACGCTGACAAACATGTAGAGTCTTTTGAACACTTTGAGTGGCAATTTCAGAATGTTTGGGATGCGTTTCTCACAACCCAAATGCAAACTGTTGCTCCAAAACTAGTCTTCAACGGTGCCGCAGCTAACAATAGAGAGTGAAGTGGTCGAGTGTGTCGACCACTTCACTTACCTGGGAAGTAGGATCAACCCTGGCGGATTAGTAGCCGATGAAATCTCTGCACGGATACAAAAGGCTCGGCTGACTTTAGCCAACTGACGGCATCTGTGGTGCCACCACTATATCCGATTGTCTATTAAGGGTTGCGTGTACTGCACAGCAGTCCACTCTGTTCTGCTGCACAGCTGTGAAACATGGCCACTGAAGGTGGAAGACACGAGAAGGCTTCAGGTGTTTGACCACCGTTGCCTTCGTAGTATAGGGGGTATTCTGTGGTGTCACCACGTGAGTAATGCAGAAGTCAGGTGTTGAGTTTTAGGGTAAGTCAGTTGACACGATTGTGAACCTTCATCGACTGAGATGGCTGGTTGCGACGTGTTACATATGCGTGTCTCGTCACACAATGTTGGCCGAAGTAGGTTCAGGTTGGAAAAGACTCGAGGTGGTTAGACTAAAACATGCCATCAATGTATGAAGTGTTTGACTGTTGGCTTGAGCCAAGTGGGGCTATGCAGACTAGATGGTTGGGATCCGCAGTACAAGAGAAACCAGTGGTTAGAGACTCCATGTGATCTGGCTGAGAACTGATGTCAGTGGTGCAGATGAATACACACGTTATACTTATCTTAACTGCTATACTTAATCTCATCGCCTCGTCATTTTTCCTTCCTCTCTCTTACTACTTTCTACTGCTACTTTCTTTGATCGATTTTCTTCCTTCTTCATCTACCATTTCATTGCCTTGTTACTTGATGTGCTGATATGAGCTGTGGTAACTTCAACAGTTACGCAGTAATGGCTAGTCTTATGTTGACCTTGATGATGATGATAACTTTTTGGGAATACAGCAAATTTATCTCTTAATAATAAAAGCTTGTATGTGCGGATCCGTTACACGTGAGATAAGTGATGCGGATCTGGATAACTGTTTTGTTATGATAACCACAACAGTGAAACAGTAAAATACTTTCAGTTGAATTATAAAAGTAATCCTCTCTATTCCTCTGAAGTGTTTTCATATTAGCATAACCACTTAGTTTGAAACAGTTAGTTCCTTTTGATGAAATTGCATAGTGTGATAAGAAGACGAAGGTTATCTGAGAAGTGTGATGTATTTGAGCAATACATCTCGGGCAATCTAATCACACACTTACTTGTCGAAGCATTTTATATGAAGGGTGAAAATAGAGTAGGACAATCACTTAGTTACATAGGATTGAGGATAACATACTATCATGTCATCACATACATCATGGATATCACTTTCCTTGATCACTACAGTACTTTACTAAGATGACCCCATCCATTACAATCACCACTAAGAAATAGCCTTAGGATTGTAAAGGGTAGTGTTTTGAACATTATCGTGTGTGACACTTGAGACTGACAATCTTGACTATCGCACCAACAACAGTCATTTAACGGCAATCAAAGCCTCTTACTTTCATAACTTCCTTACGGATGGGTTTAGGTAAAGGAGAACTTTAATCTGAAGGAGAACGTACTTTTATATCCCTGAACTTTTATAATAAGGTAAAAAAAGTACTCTTAGAAGGTGACTAAGTCACTTGCCAGATATGTTTCTTTACTACGTCACAAACTGTTATTCATCAATTTTACGAGAAAATAGGCAGAAGATAGTGTTACTGAATCTTATTTCTGATGGATTGGCTTTGGCTTTACGCAGAGTAACGAATCTCACTGGAAAAAGTATGGTCAGTATTCGTGAGAACAAGATATAAATTTGAATAATTTATGTAAGACAATGATTTGGAAACAACTAGAATTTATAAAATGACTTTTCATGGGATGACGCTAAGACTTGTCGCATTAATAGTGCCTCATTATGTATAGTATTTCGAACCGAGTCCAACCTCAACAAAACGAAGTGTAACATTAGAAAGTCAAATATATGCATTTAAACATCAAGAAAGTCTCTACTCAAAACTCAGTAAATCAACTAGGGTTAAAATAGTGAAAACCGTAATGCATTTTAGATAACATGTATCCACTTCCTTATATTGGTCAGTAGAGTATAGTAATTCCCTAAAACTCAGAATTGCAAGTTTCAAAAATGTGAGACAAATATTGAAAATGACGACAGTCTGTATCCAACATGTCACGTAAGCTTTATGCGACGTGACTGACATTAGTGGTCATTGTTTCGCTCAAATAAATATTTTGAAAAATATTACAATAAATGAAGAGACCAGCCAAATTACGCTCAAAATTACTCAAGTCACACACTATTTGGACGAAATACCACTAATGTCAGTCACGACACATAAAGATCATATGGCAAAATGCCGGATATAGGCAGTCAAAAATGACCGACTTAATTGATGCTACGTAATTATAAGAAAAGGCATTCTAATTATAGGAAAGCACAGTTTGTTACTTCATTTGTAAACATACATCTACTCAAATTTAATGACTGTTTAACTCAATGATTATATTGATAAAGTGAAACAGAATAACAAAACAAATAAACAACAAAAATTGATCACTACTAACCGTTTTACAATATTAGAAGCCTGTTGGCACTCTAAATAATTTATAATTTGTCTGTCCACTGGACAAAGTGCTTGAACAGCTAGATGATTCTTTAAACAAGGCGAACAAAATGTATGACCGCATTTAGTATCGAGAGGATCAACTAAAGGTTGACGACATAACTGAAATAGGAAGACAATATATAAAGAAGCTGTAAGTGCAACTGGAAAAGATATTTTTAGTTTACAACAATGAATTACCACTTATTTACAGGAGATGAAGACTGGCTGGTAGGGGTCCCCTAGATGATAGAAGTCAATGGTTGGTGACTCTCAGTGAAATGACTAAAAATCGGTGTCGATAGCGATGTATCCACTCTTTAGCGTCTTTTAAAGCTTGAATGTCTTGACTAACCTTAATTTTTAAATCCTCTTTCCTCTAATACACCTTTGACTACTTTGATATCAGTTTTTGCAATCCACTTGTCCACTACTACTGTAAATTGTAGCTACTTGAACCAATGTACTTCTGCGAGAGGTTTTACGTTGATTTTGTCTATCTGACTTGTTTACAGACTAACTAGTGTTACTAGGTTACCAGTCAGTCAGTAGGAAGTCCTGCACAGGTTCGGTAAACAATACAGTTTGGGCTTTAAATAAAAGCCAACAAGAAAAGAGCACGGAAAACTTTTTCAGGTTTAAAAACCAGTTAAATCAGAGCTACTAAAATCTGACTGACTAGCAAGATAAGAACTGATGGATTACAATGAGACTCACAATCCAGCCTATGGAAATTCGAATTTTCAATCACCGAGTGTTAAGAACGCCAGAACTGAAAAAGAAGCCAGGGAAATTCGAAAAACAACTAGGAGTTATGAATTCCAACTTCCGCTCTGCAAAGACTCATAAACATCAAGGTCTTTGACTTCATGTAAACGTCAAAACAATGCATGAGTTTTCAGGTAATTTTCGTCTAATCGGAGACTAGAACTGCAAAATGTACACTAGTTATGCAGGTGAAGTAGTTGATTTGAAGCACTATACACACAAGTGGGTATTCATGCTGGGTGTCTTATGATTCATACCTTCTTTCTTTGTAAACGAGGTTGCGTACACAGTTAGATGTTACGAAGCTAATTCACAATTCAGACAATTGCATATTACATAGTAATCACAAAAAAAATGTATACTTTTTGTGTTAGGTCGACATATTGTAAAAATCTGAAGAATCGCTTCCCACTTTGAGAAACAAGGAACCTTATTCGAATACACGTCTGTTCAGTTTGTTAAGCCTGGAGACTTAAGTTGTTAAAAGGTAATCGACAGGAAGTCCTGGATCTAGGTTCAATGACTTGACAACTACCAGTAAGGTATATCTTTAGTGATGCTCTCTCTGAAACTCGAACCTGTATCACTAAGGAGGCTTCACCATTATGCTATTTAGGCCACGATTGACTTCTAATGACTAAAGTACATAAACCAACTAGTCACTAGATGGTTATTGGCGTAGCTATTGAGTCCCAAGTGCTGATAGAAACTGCACAAGTAGTGAAATCCAAATACAACAAAACACAGCTAGAAATAGTCAAATTCCAGAAAATCTACCCAGATAGTGATGACATACGTGGTCTTTTCATGATCCACAACCAAATCAGTTTCCACATAATGACAAATACATCTTGTTGATAAGTGCTAACAAGACTAAACAAAGCACTTATAAGCCATACATCTTTGAATTTCTTCTTCTTTGAATTTAAGTTTGTAAATGATTTTCATTGAAGAAAGTTGCTTTTTGAATTTAGCTTTTGACCGCCCCTAAATCTATTCAGTACTTTCAGTTCCTTTCAAAACGACCAGTAACCCGTTCCGTGAGATTTATTAACCTTTACACTCAGTAGGTACAATGATACAGAACCTACCACCCCGGTTTCCAGAAAGAGATATTTCCTCTAAGATAAAAAAGCACTGCTGCACGGCTTAAAACATGACATTGCTAAAAGAAATATGCATGGCAAAATCAAATTCTCGAAATGGTAAAGAACCACGATCGAGACGCGCACATTTTGTATATATGACTACAGGATAGGAAATTATCAGTTTAGATAAAAGTTTGAATACGTAATAAAATGCAATGAACAGTAGCATAACAGAAATAGGATGTACGAAAAGAACTCAAAAACTTACTGTACAACACAGATCATCATCTACAGTTTGTGTGTAATTGTATGAGTGAGGTGATGTTTGATCATGTGACTGACCACAGGTACGACATAGATGGATTATCGCAACTACATTTTTAGGAACACATTCTGATACTTCATTTCGAGTGTGAACAGAAGTAGTAATAGGACAGTTCGAACGAATATTTTCTTTATTAAGCAATTTAGGTGACATAGATGTTATTGTTGTAGATTGAACAAAACAACTGGGTTTACTGCATGGTCCAATTTTCGGATGAAGTTCAGTAAAAGCAGATCCAGGAGAAGGGAACGTTGAAGGTATACAGGTAGGTGAAGTGAATTGTTCAGGGTAAGCAGGTAAACCAGAAGTAATGTTTTCTGAATAAGAATAAGGCAAACTTGGTGGCTCAAAAGATGGAGGGCTTGTAAATGGATTTGGAGGAAGGACATCACTAGTTACTTTAGATTTGGGTGTTGAAGATTCACAAATGGTGGCTGTGTTTGACAAACTAGAGCTGATGTTAGTTTCCTGAAGAAAGAAAAACATAACCAATCAAGACACTCACAACCAACTTAGTAAATAAAGTGAGAAAATAGGTGCTGTAGTGTCTGAATTAAATTTTATGCACAGAATGCTAAATATATTTGAAGTGTTAACATAGTAGAATAAATCCATATCTACCATTCAAGTCTATTTTTATTGAATGGAAAGGAACATGTGATAAGATAAATGGTTTACTTGGAAGTTAATAACTTTGCGTAATCTGATTTCAATCTAAAGAACCCTAACCTCGATAGATCCTCTAATTTAGGAAATTTATCGTTGACAAAATAACTGAATATCTTGAACAAAACAAAAAAACTAGGTGACGGTAATTGTACCAAATATAGATTTGAAACTTACCATTTTGCGAATTCCTTTTCTAAAGGTTGAACTTAAATTGTCGTATGATGGACAGTTGGAAGTAATATCTTCAGGAGGTTCTGGCAATAATGGTGAACCCTTTGAAACAGGAGGATCAAAGCCGGGACTGCTGGCAACCGTCGTATTTGTTTCACTATCTCCTCCTACGCTGCCTGTACTATCATCGCAGCAGCTTCCAGTTTGCATGGTGAAACTGAAGATTTGTTAAAGGTGACTTCGATTTATGAATACACGAGATAGCCAGAATATAGGATAGTCATAATTATAGTACAAAGTGAAACGAAAAATTTATAGGATCACACATCTTTTACTGAACGCATCACAAAGCAAACCTGAAATAAGAAACAGAGAGAAGTTAGTTACCTATGAGATATCTGGTTGTACACTCCATATGTACAGACCCATAAGGGCCTTATTTAAGGTTAATGTTCGATATAATCGGAGTATGGAGTTTAATATATCCAATAACATATGCATGTAATATCTACGTGGCAGAAAAAACAAATCAACGGAGAATTTGACACATGCACTTTGGTTCAAGTTGCGACACTTCACAACAGTATGAAAACAAACGGTGGATCGAGAAAACACTAAGGTAGACAAAAAGCTTTGGGAGCAGAGAATAAATGAGCAGTTCAGTGGAAATATTCAAGACTTCGAAAATGACAAAGAGTGAATATATCTACACTACGTTGGCCGATTTCTGGTCATATCATCGAGTCTCTCACTATTAGTTCATATCAACTTGAGGACCCCAGGCAGGTAGGCAGCCTGCACCTCCCTATACGAACCACTTAGAGACTTCGCAGGCAGGCACAACGTCTTGGTTTGGTTACTTTTGACCGTTTTCCAAATCAGTTCTATTTCGGCTAACATCGTATGAAGAGGAGGCGGTCGCTCGGTATGCGCAACACATGTCCGAACCACTCAAGCCGTTGAAGGTTTCTAAACTCATTAACTCAACTGACCTCCTTTCTTTGTAATCTAAACAGAGCCTGAACACAACTCACACGGTAATTCCACTAAACGTTAGTAATGCTACGAAAATACCTGTAGTCAAAAACCTAGAGCCTCCTAACATCTCCCACTTTCGAGAGTCATAGCCCACAGCTGCGTAACAAAACGGAAAGCAATGCCGTGCAGTATACTCGCTGATTTCAAGCTGTATACTGTTCCGTCGATCGATGGCTTAAGTAACACAAAATCAATGTAGAATCTGGCACAAAAGTGCATCCACTGAATTTGTCCTAATTCACATTAACATGCAAAGAACAGTTAGATAAAAAAACTGATACAGAAGTAGACAAAGTTGTATGGGAGGGAATTGAATTTGAAAATGGAGCATAAGAGAAATGTTAAAACTCGAGAGAACTTCAAAAGTTAACACATCTGATGCACTGTGACCGATTTTCAGCCATTTCACCAAGAGCCTTATACCATTGTTTTCTATCATCTCGAAGACCCCAGTCAAATAGTCTGCATTTCCTCACATGACTCAAAACAAAAGTCAGGCTTCATGGATGGGTGCCACGTGTCTGGTCAACCTGAATCCGCTCTCAACCTTGGCCAACTTCTGTTACTAATGCGAGCCAAGGTAGGTGGTGGCTCGGCATGCACAACACATGTCCAAGTCACCTCAGTCGATGAAGGTTTACAACCTCGTCTACCGACTTCCCCTTCTTGCTTATTACCCTTTGTCTAACGTCGACATTCCTTACTCGCTGATTCCACCATATGCGAGTAACACTACGAAGCCACAGGTATGAAAGCCTGCAACTGCTTTTTATCTACTTTTAACGGTAATTTTCCATATAACAGGACAGAACACACTGCAGAGCAGTATACGTGTCCTTTATTAGGAAATTACATATCTCACCTGCACCAGAGATGACATGAGTTGGCAAACGCCAAATGAACCTTTGTATCCAGGATGAGATTTCATCAACTATCCCGTTCGGGCTAGTGCAACTTCCCAGACCTATGAAGTGGTTTACGCATCCAACCAGATAACTCCCCATCCTTAAACTGGGAGCAGCTGCTGACTGGTCCTAAAGCACTATCTTGCATTTCACGGGTGCGAAGCGCGTGTCAAATGTACACAGATCTACGTACAAAGCGTTCAAAAGACCCGGCATCTTTACCCAGTAGGATAATGTCGTCTGCACACTATAAGTCTGTTGATTTGACATGTCCTCCAGGGAGTAGACAGATCCCTGTAAAGTCAGATGTGCCGAAGTTTACGTCAATTTTTATATCTATAACGGACTTAAACAAGAACAGTGGCGGCAGCGAACCCTGGTGAACACCCCTATCTGTCGTCAATTCTCATAACAACTCTCCATAATCATTTAACACCAATGCTGGGCAACTGAAGCGTTGCTATGGGCAAGTTTAACTGTGCTCCAAAGTGCTTTGCCTAGTATTCCACTTAACTATCTAGAAAGGTAATCATTCCCGTCCGTCTCGGTGATAATCTCAAAAATCTCATTTTTGAACGCGTAAGTCTCCTACTAGTATCACTATATCTTAACCTTTTGCCCTGTGTCAACGTCATGGGTATGATGTGAAGTTGGTCCAGATGGTCATTAAAGATACCCTAAGGGGAACCCTAAAGTAGATTAAGAAGATAAAAGCATGCACCCAATCATGTAGGATCCTTAGAGTGGATTTAGTTAACAGAGAATAGATTTATATAATCTTGAAAAACGCACTTAAGGCGCATAATTTACCCATTTAAATCTGACCAGAATGGTCTTTAGAGAAGTAGGTAAAAAAAATAGTTACTCAAACAAAACCCCGATATGAAAGAGGAGCAGAAGACCTATAACTCGTGGACTTTTGAGCTATGAGGTCACGAAAACGAATATTCCTAAGATATATCTTAAATAGAATGCAGGTATTCTACACCAATGCCCACAGAATTTATGATGGAAGACTAGGGCTGGGTGCTTTAATTTACGAACAAGGCGCTGGTCTGGTTACCACCACCAAAATCTGGTTTATAAACGATGGAGATATTACCCCATTCTATATGGAGTGAACACTTGTGTACTAGAACAGTCAAGCACCATGCTTTAAAAATAGGCTTAAAAACAATGGGTTTTACTGCCAAAAAAAAGACACAGTGCGGAAATAAAGACACCGTGCTGATTTTCCTTGGGATAGGAACACTGGATCGCAGAATAAGAACATTAAAATAGAATTACTAAAGAAATGACTTGCATGAGTAACGGAGAAAACGAAATCCCGCCTCAGATTCCGATTCGTTGTTTGAAAATAGAAGGCTGTGAGCCTATTTTAATTATTTTCCAGTAGATTTCTGTGCTTGTCCAATCCCCTTTTGGACGAGTCAGTTGATTATGTGGACATCACTTCTCTTGGAAACCGATTCCAGGAGTTGACTACTGGATGTGAGAAGAGACTACGTTCGTTCTTTGATTCTGTATGTTCTCTGGGGCGCAGCGACCCAGTGGAAGTAAAAGAGAAGACAGATCAGGTCCAAAGTCATTTCTTAGAATCCCTCATAGCATTACTAAATTCCCACTCTGTCGGCGATTGGATAAAGAGAAGGGGTTCTGCTCCTTAAGACGATCTTCATGGGTCAGGCAAGCCATCGCAGGAATCATACGAACTCTTTGCAGAAGACCTGAGCCACCTTTCATCATGGATTTGCGGCCTGTGTATAGTTTCCTACTTTAGGCCAAACTAAGGATGTGTCCAAGGTGGTTAACATATCACCACTTATTCTTGTAAACTTTCTGCGTGATGCACAGTGTCTTAAAACTTCTAGCTGCTACCAATAGACGGTGTTCTTTGATCTCCAAATCATAACTCAGTATGACTTCTAGGTCATTGTGGATCAGTACTTAAGGTAGAGAAGTCCCACTAATATCGTAGGTGTTGCCGTCTGTGTGCCTCTTGAACATGCTCACATATTTGCCTGAGTTGAAAGGTGTCAGCCACTCCTCTGACCAGGCGAAGAGGCTGATTGGGTCTACCTGGAATACATGTATATCTCCGTCATTCTTAATCTCCCTCCACGTTTCCATATCATCGGTGTACAGAACCATAGGGAGATTTAGCTTTATTCGGCAGCACATCTATGTGTAGGAGAAATGGCAAGGAACCTGCGACCTGCACAGTTACTTGGTTGGGATTAAGAGTGCCCCACCCCCGTCTGTTTCATCGAAAGTTGACCTAGTCTTACGGTTGGTTGCTGTCAGACTGGTTCTGCCAGCTCTGGGGGCGCCACCACCTGAAGATACCCGCCTCACCTTGCCTTGTGTAGTTAGACGTTGTCAACCGCTGTAGGTAGTCTAAGCCCCTGACTTACAGCTTGTCATGGGACCTCCTTAAAGTTTTGCACAGAAATATATGAGTTAATGGATTCTGCGTCATTATCACTACCACAGTTATCATCTTTCCCCTTGCACGCCAGCTTCTTTGTTATCATATTTAAAAGCGCTTTGCTTCTTCTTCCACCCAATGACTATTCGAGCAGCACGACACGCAAAGTCAAGCACTCCCTGCTTTACTATATCTCTCATATACTGAGGGCGTAACGCAATTATCGCGGAACTAGCTCTTACACTTGGTACATTGAGTACCTAAGGCCACTGCGAAGTGACCGCCCGCCCCAGCACAGGTATTTTAGTGACAATTTTGTTTCACCACATCGCAGACACTGGAAGCAAGTTTGATAAGACAGGTGAGTATGAGTTAAAAATGAAAAACGATAAGGAACCCTTGCAATATGTATCGGCAAAAACTACTAGCACTAAAAAGTAGCGTTTCCACAACCCAAGTGATCAACTATGAGAAATTCGCCCAGAAAAGTATCTGCCCCACTTTAATCGAAGAATATCCTGATCACAGCAAAAGTAGAATAGCCTTTGATGCAAAAACGCAAAAACTGCCAAAAATTTAGATGAACGTGAAAAGTCGACAAGCGGCTTCACACAGATGCACATGCAACATCAGTGGTGCAATAACCAATGGTTTTATCATTCTTCTTTTCCAGCCATTGTATTCCAGTTCCCTTCACTTATTTCTACTTCTGCAGTGCTTGTGAATAAAAGGAGTTTTCATTCAACCAGCTTCCTAGTGTAACGACCAAGTGTTGCTAAGAGTTTATCTAGCCTGGGGGTATGTAGGTACGCTTTTGCGGAAGGGCTTGCGAATTTGATAGTGGTCACAAGAGTCTGGAGGAGAAAAACGTGAGCTGATGACCCAGCAAGTGCATAAGGTGTACTTACGTTTAATAATAACATATAACTTACGAACTGTAGAGCTTGACAACGAAGAGCTGGGGCAGCATTCATTTCGAAACTGCAAAGGGGATGAGTAACGTTTCGAATGGGTTACACCACTCCCCTGGTGCAGAAGCACCATCCTGGTGTGTGAGTGTGCCTGAGTTATTTGCAGGTTAGGTGGGTTTTGAAGCTGGTACGAGCAACATGCAAGGCAACTGCTACTTCTGAGTGCGCGCCGGTCTGACCATTGACAAGCCGGATTCCACCTCTAGGTTGCTAAGGTGAAACGAAGTTTACCGGTATAAGGCTATCTTCAATCCATATCAGTGTACCTTGAAAGGTATGAACAAGGGACCCAGAAGCCTGTAATTCTCCAGGTGGCTCTGTTGGCTTTTTAGGACGAGCTCTGAGTTGTCTTTTGGTGAATGGGAATTGATTTGGAGAATCTTCAACTGATCTACGCACATACCTGGTCAGAAATGATTCTCCTTCATGCTTATTAGCCGTATAAGTTTGTTCGGAAGCATAACGACATCCTTCCAGAGCGGTAGTAACTTGTGCTTCAGTTGGTGAACATTCGGACCAACTGCCAAGGATGCTAAGCGGTCAGTGCAACGTTCATATTCATACATGTAGTTAGCTTATGATGAGAATTTTCCGAAATGCTGGTTGCCTAATAGTTCCGCCACCACAGCGTCACTAGTATTTAACCTCCTGGAGTCTACAGGTTGAGAGACTCCCTTTAGCCTGTCAAAGCGGTACGTCACTGCAGAACAGATTTCTTGGGTTGGAAACAAAAGTGTTTGCAATCCTCACCTGATGCCAGTGCCACTCCGCACCCACCGCACTTATGTTCCTATCCGTTCAATCGGCTTGTGCGCGTGCTTGCTGTTGTCGCCATTGTGTCAGGACCAACGATGACTTTTCAACCCAAGTGGTTTACGAAGAGGGTTACTTAACACTTGGTAGCCTATAGAAGTTTGGGGTTAGAAGTTAAATAGGCTTGCTGACGGCATACAGCACTTTGTCAAATGTTAATCTGAAATAGGTGCTCATATCCCACCGATCACGATCAACTTCCTGGCTTGTCAACTTCGCAGCCGTTCGGAGAGCCGAAGATTCAGGCACCTGAGTTCCCGAAAGCACTCCTCTGGGGAATCAGGTTGATAGCTCTTATAAGCATTTCGAAACTTAAAGTAACACGGTTTCCCTCCGAATAATGGAGGACGGATTAATTTTTATCCATAAGGGACCCACCGACTGCGAAGATGTAATCGAATCCAGGCGGGTTTTGGACATCCCTCTGGAACATTCCTGGTCCGGCATTCCATGATGGTCTCAGTTCCTTAACGAGATTGCAGAATCGGGACCCTGTAGAGGGTTTCGCTTCAACTCAACGTAAGATATGCAAAAACTAGCCAATGGGGCCTTGAAATCACCAAGAATCAGAACATCTGTTCATTCCAGTTCGAGAAGGCAACCGAAAGCGTCCAACATTTGATTGTCACTATGGAAGCTTGTAGACGGTTTCATTCAAGTCAACCCCACTATGCTGTTGGTAATAACGATAATACTTATTCCTGAATATGCAGGCACACACCACCCGTACAGGTGTAAGTTTTTATACAAATTAAATTTTTCTTCATGAAAGGTAGTCTCAGTCCACACCCTTTGCCGCTAGAAGATACAGTTGCTGCAAACTCGTAAAACGGAACATCCCAACAGAATAAGCGTGCAGATAATTAACAAGTTCGATAGGTGGAGGTATTGTCTTCGCATCAACCAAGAAACCAGGTTGTATCTCGACACCTCATGTACTACCTGGAAAAAATAAAGCTTGAAGTTAAAACTTCTGTTGTAACAGTCTGTACTTTTTGCTAGAGATAATTATGAATGTCTTATGCGGGAATGTATGCACAAATTATTCACCTCTTGTACATCACTGATGATTCCAGAACAATAAACTTCGTGCATTTTAATGACATTCCACGTCGGAGATAGATAACCTTGATGAATACTACGACTGAGAGTCAAATGTCTTCAGTTTTCAAAATCCGGCACGTAGAAGCAATGGACTTGTTTGAATGCTCCAAGTGGACTTCCAGGACATCTTGTCAGCCGTTTTCACTGGTTGTAACAGCCTTGCTGTCGGTAAGCGCCGGACTTTCTTGATCACTTTTATAATGAATGAATCCTAGATCTAGATAATTACGAAGTTGTGGTCCAGTGAACATCTTTTATTTCTGCTAGTTGCGGTTAGGTATTGTAGCCGCAGCAAAACTGGTTACCCCCCATGGGGGGTAGTTTCAGCCAAGGCCTGTTCCTTAAGTGCTTAATTCCTGATGATGACCAAGCCAATATTTAGAATTGAATTGACTTTCTACCACGAGAAAAAAGACAAGGCGGCAGGCAGAGAAAGAAGCGAAAATTCTAACAAGGAGAGAGTTATCTGTGTTCGTGTTTCTCCCTACTTAATTTTCCTTGCACTGGAGTTCATTGTATCTTATTTTGCCATTGAGTACTTAAGAAGGCAAATTTCATGCTATCGTGCAGTGTATATTTTCTGATTTTGATTACTATGTTGGGTAGGGCAGAATGTGCCGTTAGTTTGAGGTCACAACTTGTGGAAGTCTCCCCAAAGCTTCGTATGAAAGGCCAGTGTAGGTGTGTGGGTATCTCACTAAACATTAAGAGGGCCCAGTATACGGAATGTCATAGATCATACTACTGGTGTGTTCAGTGAGCCGGAAAAGTCGTTAGATTATCAGAATTTAACTAATAACCGACCAAATTCAAGGGTTGATTTTGGAGGTCTTTACTTTAGAGGGAAGTCCGCTCCACAACTGAGAGAATTTGACGGCAAAGAAGTTTGCGCGCGAGCAGGACTCGAACGGTTTTATTGTGACGCCATGGTCGTGGTTGCTCAGGTCGTACCAACTGTTGTGTTCAAGCTCAAACTCACCACTGGCTGTAAAGGTTAATTTATGTTACGCATTAAAGAAGAGTGC